AAAGCAGAAGCTTCTGGCTCGATGGAAGCCAGACTTTCAAATGATCTTAATGAAACGCCAGCTCAGTTTCCTCTGGATGGAGCTGATCAGCATACAGGACCTTATCCTAAGGAAAATGGTCCTAAGGAGATATTCCTTCCTCCTGCATCAGTAAACCATGAAAGAGTTGCATCTAGTATCAAGCTTGAGAATGGGTTTGAGTCAGATTACACCGCAACAACTGAAAAATCTATTCATATGTTCTCTGCCTTGCCAGAGAAGAATAATGAACCAATCATCTACCCTAACAGGAAACTGGCGGATGCAATTGCTGCAGCTGAGGCGAGAAAGAGGAGGAAGAAACTCACAAAGCTAAAGAATCTTCAAGGCCGGCAGTGTCGGGCGCACTGTTGAGCTTTAAAACCCAAGTGCAGGTTAAGAGATTCTCTCCTGGTTTTCATGCAGGTCCTTTTATTTTAAGGACTTCTTGGAGATTGAGTCAAGAGCAGATCACCTAACCTTAATTATAGAAGGTTATTGAGTCATTGACAGAAAAGATGCGTGCCTATAATTTGGGTACATCTTTAAGGCCTTTACTTTTACTTTATATGTTGTTTCAAGGTGTGGACGGAGACTGGAAATTTTGTACTGCCTGTCAATATGTATGGGTAGCTTTTCATTATCAAATCATTGAGAAGCAAATGGTAGTGGTAGTTTGAGAATGCATAATTTTCAAGAATGCCTGATAACTGGGAATCATAATGAGGAAATGAATGGTGTCTTAACAAACCAGTCTTGTATTTTCTGCTATGCCTAGAGGCAGCAGCATTCAGCAGAGGAGTGAAGGTAAGAACCCGAAATTTAATTTTGACAGTTGTTTTGTAAGTTTGTGATTTGAGTTGCAAATACGTCTTGCAAGAAATCAATAAAACTGAGTTTGAGATGCTGGTAAATTAATCCAGTTCCTTCGTGCCTTCTGCAATTCTGTTTAATCTTACACAGGAGATTATTTCTTAAATTCTTTGGCAAAATTATGTTCTTCTCGGTGACCATATGGTTGGTTGCTGTAGCAATTCCCTGCCAATGCCAAGCGTAGGTTAACTTGGTGGATGGATCTTAACTGTTAGCATGCATATGGACAGTCACGTATCTGAAATCGCAAGAAACTGTCTCATGATAACCAAATGTTTATTTACAAGGGACAAATGGACTAATAGGAAAAAGAAAAGAAAATGTTGGCTAAAGAAACCTAACTGGGATCCCTGTACAGTGTGATCAGGCTCCTAACACTGTGTTTATGATCATCCCACTCAAGTAAAGCAGACACAGGCACCCCTGCAGTTGGTGTGCCACCACTCACCACAACCTTAAAAGACCTCTTCTGATGCGACCGAGTGAATTTCAAGGTACTTGGTGTGACTGTTATAGAAAAGAACTTTGGCATAATCAGCTTTACTTTGTACACTGAGCTACCATACCCTACGTTTGTTACCCTTCTATAGAAGACAGCTTTAACTGAAGTGTCACTTGCTTGTTGATGTAAATGCATGCTTGGATAGTTGAGGCCGTCTGTGCCTCGAGGAGGCTTATAGTCAGAGCAGCTAACGTTCTTTTTGCCTCCAAGTATGCCAATGTTGGTGCTGTTGTAGCCTTGCTTGCACAAGAAGCTGATATAGTCATCTACTGTGATGTCATAGATGAGCCCGGGATGCGCTGCCTTTTTCGGGTTTACTTGTCCTGCTCCTGTTCCTAGTGTGTTGCCTCCAACTCGGGTATTAATTGGCGTGGCTAAATCAGAGGGAGTGAAAAGATTGGTTAAGTCGTTGTTTGATGAACTTGATTTTCATAAAGTGTGGTTTGGGAAGACTAACCAGTTGTCATGAGAGCGGACTTGATGGCGGCGGGTGACCAGTCTGGGTGG